TGGGGGTGCTGCCCCCCCGGGCCCCCCCCCCCCCCCGCAGCACCCCGACCAGCGGCACCCTCCTTTGCCAGCACCCCGTTTTCCGCGCCTCGTCTGCGCAGCCAGGTCCCAGGCGATGGGCTCTGCAGCCGGGCCGGGGTGAGCCACGGGCCGGTGATGCCCGTCCCTGGTAATTTTACAGCAGCGTTGCAAAAAAATGGATCAGATTTTACTAGACACTAAGGAAAACAAATAAAAGGCTGTTTTCAGTGACCTGGAGTTGTAGATTTTTCTGAAGCTGTTTACTCTCCAGATTTAGCCTGTTTGCTCACCGAAGATCTCCTAGCCAGCTGGGTAACACTTGTAACACAACCATGCATGTTGTACTTGAACTTATTGTTTGCTTTGGAAATGCCCACAGCTCATATAAAATCACATTAAACAAATCCCTAAGCATTTCATTATATGAATCACTTACTTAAATCCATTGGAAATATCTCTCCTCCCCCCCCTTTATTTTTTTCTAAAGGGAGGAACCGGAGAGGGATATATGTTTACGACTGGGGAGGGGGGAAGTAAGTTTATTAAAGCTCCCAATTGGCATCCAGTTGGAAAGGACGGTAGAGATTTTAAACAGATGAAGAGGGGGAGAGAGTGGGGGGGAAGCCCATTTGTGTCATAAATTCCAGGGCGCTGCACTTCAACACGTCCGGGCAGGAAGGTGCCGTTCGAAGGGAGAAAACAGGAGCGAGGACCTGGGCGCTGGTATCGCACCCAGCCCCGGCAGCGTCCGGAGCCGCGGCGGGTCCCGGCCAAGCCGCCCTGACAAGCTGTTTTTGCAGCTCACCGGGGAAATCTGGATCGGTTTCCTGCAGCAGAGAAAGTTTGCTCTTGTTTTATTCAGAGGCAAGGCAGGGAAAGGAGAAAAAAAAAAGCTTCGATATTAAAAGGAAAAAGAAAAGACAGAAATCCACCAGATACAACCGCAAAACCCCCAAGCTGATTTTTTTTGAAGGCATCCGCAGCCGTTGCAGTGCGGGCGAGGATTACCGAGCCGAGGGCATACAAATCCGCCTGCTTGCGGGTTTCCTGCCCCCCGTCCTTCCCAGCCCGAACCCGATTTTCTTGACTTTCTGCTGGTTCTTTCCCCCAGCGGTTTTTATTTAACACATCCGGTGGGGAGCGAGCGTTTCAGAGGGAGCCGGAGTCTGTTTTCTATTTCACAATATGGTCATTGTTTACCGGCACATGCCCGCCGCGCCGCCTGAGCG